ACAACAACAACAACAACAACAACAACAACAGACAGCAGCAGCGCACCTCGAGGGAGTGGGAGCCGCGATCGACAAAGTCGCCGACGATGAAGAGGTAGGAGATGTAGTGGATGTCACCGTGGACGGTGTGGGGGACACCATAGATGCGGAAGAAGGCAAGCATGTCGTGCAGTTGCCCGTGGATGTCCCCAAACACCTTCACAGGCGCAGGCACAGCGGTTACCGTCTCATCCTGCGCATGCGCGTTTGTGCGGTGCGTGTGTGTGTGTGTGTGTGTGTGTGTGTGTGTGTGTGTGTGTGTGTGTGTGTGTGTGAGTGAGCTTGCGGGTTTGTGACCCGAGACATGGATGGGGGGTCACGTGACTCATGAAGCGATAGACGCGACCAGTGCACACACACACACACACTCACACACACACATTGACTCACTCACACACACATTGACTCACACACACACAAACACACACGGGCACACACAATCACGCACACAGGCACACATTGGCACGCATACAGTTGCCACGGCAACATCAGTCAGTAAAACGCGACTGCTTACGGCAACAGTGTGCGTGCGCGCGTGCGTGTACATATTTGTTGAAGGTGAAAAAGTGTACAAAACCAACACGTGGCTGCTTCGTCGTTTGAACACGAGCTCACACAACGCAATCATTACCATGCAAACGCGCACACAATGCAACCCTGCATGCATTTATGTGTACACCACCTCCTTTCACCACCTTTCATCCCCTCATCGGCACCTTGGAGAAGTGGTGTTGGACTTGGCCTGCTGCTCCTCCGCGTGTCAGTTCTATGCCGCTGTTTCCTTCGCCTTCCGTACCACATCTTCGGCAGATACCGCAGCAAACCTCTCCCGCCACGACCGCAGCTCGACAAACACTTGCTCGCGCGTCATCTCTGCAAACGGGTCGTCCTCTTCCTCCTCTTCATCGTGCAGCCCAACACTCATCATCAGCTCCTCCAGCGGCGTGCCATCAACGTTGCCCTACGCGCCGCGTGCATGTGCGAGCGTACATGCATGCATGTATATGTGTGTGTGTGTGTGTTTATGTCGTGCGTGCATGAACTTACGTGAGTATGTGACAAAGAACCACCCAATTTTAAACATCATGAATCGCTAAGCGACTTCGCCAACGTCAGCGTCACCACCGTCCCCTCCCCCCTCCCCGCCGCCGCTCCTGTGCTTCTGTCTTACATCAATGGACGTCTGCTTCCTGCGCGCAAGCAGCGCCTTGAGCGGGTTGCCTTGAAATGCAACAGCAGAGCCATGCGTCAGGCTGCTGCTGCCGTCATTCGTGTCGCCATCCTCGTCATCATCATCAACACCGCCGACCCTGTTACAACAACACAAACACAAACACACCGACATATCGGCGATGCATGAGGTCAACGTGATGGTGGTGGTGATGGTGGTGGTGGTGGTGGTGGTGGTGGTGGTGGTGGTGCATCGCATAAAGAAGTGTGTCAAAGTGAAGAGCACTGATGCCAACCATAAACTGCCAGAAAACAGAGAACCATGCACACCTTCACATCATGCAACCACACATGCGTGCACGCCGTGCTGGCCTCCGCGGCGGCTCGGTTCACATGCCGCTGCACATCTTGGATGCTGTCTGTGAGGCTGGCGTTGACGCCATCCAGGGACGACCACGTGGCGGCGAGAGACGCGTTGATGGCAGCGAAAGAGCGGGCAATGGCCGCCTCCATGGAGCTGAACCGCGGCACAAGCGCATCCGTCACCACCTCGCTGGTGGTGGAGATTTCGGTGCGCAGCGCGCCCTCCACGTCGCTCACGGTGTCGTTCACGCGCTGCACGTCGCCCTTCAAAGCCAGCGTTGGCAGTGTTGACAAAACGCCCTTGATGTCCGTGACGCTCACGGGATGGTCATTGTTGTTGCTGCTTGCCGTTTTGGTCTGGAACACAATGTCGTTGCCAGCCTGCAGGTACAGCGTGCCGTTTGTGGTCCACATCTGCGGCGCTCCATTTCCGTTGTCGCTGCCGGCAGTGCCGAAGCATTCCCGCAGGTCTGCAATCACCTGTGACACTGCCGGGTCCGACTGGCAGTTGAGGGTGGCCGTGCAGGCGAGGTAGCTGGTGAGGCCTGCACACGTCGTCGGCACGGTGCATTGCTGTTGCAGCAGCATCGTGTCGCACGTGTCTGCTCCCTGTGCATCACA